GATACCAAACATGTCTATGATTAACTAAAAGAACTTAGGAGTATTTAAAGTAGAAAACCGGGGGTTTGGGCTTAAGAGATGAATGAACCAAATGGCGTGCTGAACTTTGGTCACTTTGGCCACATCTGGCCCCCGGGCCACCAGTTGAATAGCCCTGTTATAAAGTGTAGTGCAGGYCAGAAACAGTTATCACCTTTCTGTTTCTCTCCTAACAACTCACTACACTGTAATTACAGTCACCTGCTAAAAGTCTTTATTTCTAATCTAATTAAATGTTTTATAGAGTGATGGAGTCTTCTCTCAGATATCAGGACATTCTGTAGATAAAACCTGTTGTGGTTCTAAGTTTGAACTTTCAAACTGAGATTTAAAATGAGCAAAAAMTTGTGGTGGTTATGGAAAGATAGACAACAAGTTCACAGCTCAGCTGCACCTCTCTGATCAACAATGGATTTATTAATATTTCAGCCATAAGACTTTCCAAAAAAAAAAAAGTCTACATAAACATTTAAATCAAATTCTGTAGTTATTTACAGGCGCATAGTAGCAGCAGCAGCAAGCTGTAGCACTTCCTGTATGAATACGTAGTGTTTTTGCAGGAGTGTGTAATGGGAAACTGACAGTGTTGTTAATGTTTACATCTTCACATGAGTTATTTTAAAAACACAAGATCTTTAATCTTAAGACCAGCTATTAACTGGTCACTCCTAACAGAACTGAAGTCATTTTAAACGTTATGTYCAACAGGTGAGATAATTATTGTTCAGACCCATCACTCCCACCCCTCCACTCCAACCAGAAGACTGAAACTAAACAGCATCAAAGCCTCCAGGTTTCCTCTAAAAGCTGGATAAAACTGTTTCCTCTCAGCCTGTTTTCATGCATTAAACACAAATTAGATCATACAAAAGCAACATTCTAGTTTTTCTAAACATTTACATCAAGCAATCAGTTTCACTGCTGAGAGCTGAAACTTTATAATGTACAATATAATGTAGCAAAGTGACAAATTGTAGGTAAAATAAATTAACATTGCTCCTGGAGCTCCTGGTAARTCTGTAGGAGCCTCAAAGATGTCCTCTGTGGGTCAAATAGTCCTACAGACTCAGGTCCCTGCAGGCTGAGGCCTCTTCCCTGGACTTGTTTCAAACGATGGGTCAGYAGTCCTCCAGAGGCCGCTGTGCTGGCTGACTCAGTAGTACGTGCACCAGTTGCTGTAGTCACTGGGCATCAGGCCTCCGGTGATGAGCAGGATCAGGTCCACAAACCACCAGATACCCAAACCGCCCAGAGTAAGCAGCTTCCCCACTGCGGTGCCCGTGTGACCCAGACAGAACCGATCCACACCAAAACAGCCCAGGAAGAAGGAGTACAGCAGTGTGGTGATGAAGTAGTGTCCAGTGTACCTGAGGACAGAACATCAGWCAGAGCTGGACTTCAACCAACCGTCTCTATAAGGATACTGAGGTAAGATGATGATGATGATSATCATCATCATCAATAGGATCTTGGTGAAATACATAAGAAAACCACGTTGTGTTTGGAGCTGTGCAGCTCAGACAGACTTCAGTTCTGTTTATTTATCTAGAGCCAAAGGTCATGTAGGGTCAATGAACAGAAACATCCACATTAGAATATAACAAAAAGATAAAGTTATTTATCCAAAAGAAGCCAGCAGCCATGCTGAGCAGCACAGTGGTGACAGTGGAAAAGAAGGGCTCTTTTAACAGGAAGAAGCCTCCAGCAGAACCAGACTGAGACCACCTTCCTGGACGGGCTGGGGTCAGAGCGGACAGGAAGCAGACACACCTTCAGTTAAACAGGTCCCAGGAAGTTTATTTTCTTCCTCATTTCATTTTTGCAGTTTTTATTTCACAGGACAGCTGATGTCACGTTCACTTCTTTTTTAAACAAAAGAAGGTTTGAAACAAAATCTTTTTATTCCAACAACATGCAATATATACATGAAAATCTAGGTGTTTTATTCTTCTTTCACCCAGAGTGTCACTAACTGCTACAGCTTGTGGTTTCTGCTCAAACTTATCCAGATTTCAGAGAGTGGASAACCACATTTCTACAGATGCTAATATATTTTAGCTCAGATTATGTTTCATAAACTGGAAGTGAAGACTCAAAATTCATGTCTACATAAAACACTGCAGAAATATACAACCCCAGTTTCAATGAAGTTTGGATGTAAAACAAATAAAAATACGATTTGCAAAACCTTTCAACCTATATCCAATTATAAGTTCTACAAAGACAGAATATTTAATGTTCAAACAGATAATTGCATCGTTGTTAGGTTTTTTTTTTCAAATATTCACTCATTTTGAATTTGAGGCTGCAACACATTTTAATAAATCAGGAACAGAAACATGTTTCATCAGCTCTCCTTTAACAACACTCAGTGTTTGTGAAATGAGGACACTGACGGCTGAAGCTTGTAGCTGAATTCTTTCTATTCTTAATGAACAACTTCAGTTGCTCAACTATCTGGGGTCTSTTCATGATTCTTCACACATTTTCAATGGGAGATAGGTCTGAACTGCAGGCAGTTGCTGCACTCTTTTACTCTGAAGCCATCCTGTTGGAACACYTGCAGCATGTGTTGTCATTGTCTTGCTGAAATCAGCAGGATGTCCCTGAAAAAAGACGTGTGGCTGCAGATGCTGCTCCAAAATTCAGCTTTAATGGCTCATCACAGATGTGACAGATATCCATGCCACGGGCACTAATATACCCCCATACCATCAGAGAGGCTGGCTTTGGAACTTTGTGGTGTCATCAATCCAGACAGTCCTGTTTGTTTGTTTGTTTGTTTGTTTGTTTGTATGTATGTATGTATGTATGTATGTATGTATGTATGTATGGATGAATGAATGGAAACTTTACTGATCCCATGAAGGGAAATTATAGTTCGGAACAATCAGTTCAAAAGATATAGACAAAACACAACAGACTTGGAGAACAGGTGCCCTGGGTCCAGCAGCCGTGCAAGACTTAAAAGAAAAAAAACATGGATGAAATTGGTCGAGATAGGTTGAAAAAAGTTTGTAAATCAATGTATTCTGTTTTTATTTATRTTACACACAATGTCCTAACTTCATTAGAAGTGAAGTTGTAGAACAAATCTCGTCAGTCATCTGCTGTTCACAGTTCAAATGATTTCTGTTGAATTGGGCTTAATTTTCAGTCCGTCTTTCTGTCTGTCACTCATTAACATGGCTGTCAGGGAGTGACAGACAAGGGTGCGTGGTTACCGTGGTGACCATAATGAGCCACTGGCAGAAGCTTTACCAGTAGTTTGATCTTGGTTTCACTCGTAGATCAAATGTAGGCATTATTCACAGAGTGGGCAGTTACAAACGATGGAGCAGTGGGCAGTTACAAACGATGGAGCAGTGATTACAGCTGACGTCTCACAACGAGAAGGCCGCAGGTTCAGAATGAGGCTGCAGCCTTTCTGTGTGGAGTCTGGATGTTCTCTCTGTGCATGTGTGGGTTTTCTCTGGAGGATTTCCTACCACATCAGARACCTGTTTACAGGAATAATGACTCAAACCCTAAACATCTTTGATCCTCCACACAAGCTCACACTACAACTTTAACGTGATGTAATGATGTAGCTCTCAGTCAGCTCTCTGCCTGTGGAGAACCAGACTTGGACCCGTTAAGAACCAGCTCCAGCCCTGAAACATCATCAGGTGAAAAAGAAAACCTGTCAGGGTACAGCATTCTCCTCCCACAGATAAAAGCATGGATGTTAGGTTAAAATGTGACTCAACTCTTAGGTGTGAGCAGGAGAGAAAAGACTCACCTGGAGCATGCACACAAAAGCAGGTAACACAAAGGGAACAGCTGCTATGGCATCTGTCAACATTTCTGCAGAAATGTTACAGTTTAGTCTGTTTACTRATTTAGAACTAAAGAACTCACCAAGGTTCACCATGAATGTCTAAAGAACTAAATAAAMAAAGAAAGAGAGCTGCAGGGACTGCTGTACGCCACACAGAATGTCCTCTGGACAAGAGGTGGACACCAGAAGAAGTGCAGCAGAGGCTCTGGTCTGTTAATGGGCTGATAGAGGCTCAGTCATRACTGTTAGCAATGAAACTGTGGCCTCATGGTAATGTGACAGCTGGGTAGACAGCGCCCTCTGGTGGTAAAATATCAAACTGCATCAGTTTGTGTAAAGTCAGCTTCATACCTGCTTTAAAATTCAGGCTAACAGATTTTATTTCTTCAGATGTTCAGGGTTCGTGCAMGTTTCAGTAAGTTCAATTTAAGACCTTAAGACACATTAGGAATGACATTTAAGACCAAACTGACACATTGACAGAAACATTCAAATGGTCCCAGAAATTGTAACATAGAAACCTTTTATTGCTTTCAATTTAGCTGTTAAAGAATATTTAATTTTATTACAAGAACACTAAATTATTTTAWTGAAACGGTCATATCTATGAGACCTTCATACTGACTGCTGTGGACCGCTTCTAACCGAGTGCAAAAATCACTGATTTCAAGTCAAGTCTCATTGAAAACACCTTTTCCAATGTTTAAAGGCCAAACAGTGGACATGACTGCACGTCTTTGTTTTTTAGGTGGGTGAACAAGTTTTTATGCAGCCAACGCTTCTCGGGAATGATTGAAAGRAAAGGAATTAAAACTTGACAGAATTAAATGAGACCTTCGATGAAAAACTAGGTGTTTTTAATACTTTTTTAGGTGTAAAAGTTTGATTTTCAAATTTTAGACATTTTTTTAAGACCCTGCATGAGCCCTGGGTATTTCACTACCACCTGAAATGTTTTGCACAGTGTGCTGTGATGGCTTCTGTTACAGCCTGCTGTTATATAAACCAACTAAAGTCAGGCTCACATATAAATGTGATAGTGTGCCCTCTGTGACTGATGCCCACAGGCCACAGTGTATATTACCCCACATGTTTTGTCCCTCCATGAAGAGGTTCTAGTCCAACATTTTCTCTTYCTGTCTGATGTAGCTGCAGAAGAAATCACCCCTAATCTTTCACTGCCTTCTTTGGAGTGTGGCCTACATCACTCTGCTGGTCTGGAGGCTTAAACTGTTAAAAAAGTCTGAGTTAAAATCATAAATGTTTTACATCCTCTTTGCTCCATTTTTCTCCTGTTAGCCAATGATTTGACCCCTCTCAAACAGACTGACATCTTTTCCATGACCACAGGATGTGTTGTTTAAGAAATGAGAAGCAACTCATTGCACCTGTTGGGGTTAAATAACTTGTTGCTGAAAGATAATCTCAGTCTCATGCAGTAATTATCCAATAGGAGGCTCGTACCTATTTGCTGAGTTAAATCCAGGTGGAGATGTTTTTTYCCAGGCAGTGTATAAAATAAATAACATTGAATGCTGATGATGTGAGGTTTCAAAAGAAAGTTTGATTCTGGTGAAGGAGAAGCTCTCAGGACCAATCAGCATCCTGCTGATGTCAAACCTTCAGCTCCTGGATTTAAACGGATGTTTCTGTTCACCTTTGGTTTGGATATAAATAGTTTTAAAACTTGATCAYATAAAACAGACCAGTTTTATTCTGCACAACCTGAAAACTGAACATGTAGCTCTGTGTGTAACAAAACCATGTGTGGGGTCTTACTTGATGCACGGTACATTTCCTCTGAGAAACTCCCTGGGCCCGGCACATTCGATGTCATCCAGTGCAGTGCAGATAACCTGGGTGTGGTTCACCTCCTTCTGAGTCTGACCCCCCCACTAGAGAAAAACAGAACCGTGAGTCGTCATCTGGCACCAGTCAGTGTTTGACATGAACCTGAAATACTCACGCCGACGCAGCCGTGGCCCATCTCCTGGAAGGCGCTGTAGTTCCCAGCATGATCCACGGGCTCCTGGCAGAAGATGAACTCCTCGGGTCTTCAACAGGTAGAATTTAAAAAGAAGATGAAATTGCTTCAGTTTGTTGTTTTCAGTGATTACACAGCTGCCATCTTGGTTCCAACAGCTGGGTTTGTGATTTCACAACATTAAACAGCACATGTGGCCAGCAGGTGAAACCTTCGACCACTCATGATGTACAGAAGAAATACCCAGAATTCATCTGTTTTTTGTTTTTACTTTTGATTTACAAAACAGCTGTGAACTTTGACCTTTGGGTCCAACAATAAGTTTTATCTAAACAACCTAAAACTATTTGTAACTTTCTGACCTGGTGTTCATAAGAAAAAATGCATCTTAATAAATTCACCTTTTAGCTGAAGAAAGTTTTGATACAAGTTAATTTCTAAAAAAAGAGCTGATAATGTCCTGATGCATCTCAGTAATCCAGGTAAAAAATCAAAAAGAAAAAATTTGTATAGGTCCTCTGGATGGGTTCTTCTC